ATGCCGTGTCCTAATATACTTGAATAAAAACATCGTAACTCCCAAGATAGGGACTTTAACTATAAAAAAAAAAAAAATAAATAAATAAATTTGTACTAAAATTTTTGTAATACTAATAAGAATTCTTTTTATATATATATAATGTTACATTTTATATAAATGCTCTAAGCTTTTATTTGAGATAATACAACTCAACTGATTGTCAAGAGACAGTTAACTAATTGTCAAGAAACAGTTAACTGATTATCAAGAAACAGTTTATTGTAACACGGATATGATTTCTAAATTTTGTTATAGGTAGGATTTGAATACTAAATCTGCCACTTGGGGTTAACAACTTACTATTCCGAGTTACTACACTCTAAGAAATATGTTTAAACATTTCAAATTGTAATTATTATATAAAACTTAGTAAGTTCTACAAAATAAAAAAAGTTTATTTAAATTGGATTACTGAATGGTTAAAAATTTTGATATTTATTCATAAAATCAGACCCATATGTAGTTTAAAAATAAAATAGTTATATTGATAAGTACCTATGGAACTGAATTAAAAAATAAAATCTGTAAATAGTTTATTTCAAACAAAATATGTTTCCATTTTAATTCACTATACTATAAACCCTTATTATTAAAAAGAAATAATTGTTATTATAGACCAGCAAGCCGGACTTGGACCGGGCCTAATTTTAAAGTAAAGCCCGGCCCTGCCTGTTACTTCAGGCTTTTTTTTTCTGGGCGGGGCCCGGGCTCAAAAATATTTTCGGGTTTGGTTTCGGGCACAGCCAAGCCCGGACCTTAATTATAGAAATTTCTTTAGAACAATTGCTAAGTCACTAAGTTTCTAATATATACCTTATTTCTTAGGACTACTTTATCCTTGATGAACAACTTACTAGGTCTCACTTTTTTAAAAAAAGAAGCTACTTAGAGTATTATTTACTATATATGTATGGCTAATTAGTTTTGTTGTTTTTTTTAATACATAATTTTAACTTTTATAATTCGTAAAAATACACAAATCTTATTTTGTTCTACTAGTTTTACTAGTATAATTATACTTAAAATCTATTAGTTGTAAATATTTTTATATCTCATGTATATCTTATACATATATATAAAGAGAGTCTTTAACATTTAGTATAACACACTATCTATTTCTATCGTTTTTATCTGATTCTATTGTTTTCTTTTAGTCTTCCCAATAATACCTTTTCTTTTCTCAATCCCAATAGTAGTCCAATCGCCGCCGTAATCATGACCGGGAAATACTACGATCTTGTCATCCAAACTGCCCAACCTTTTTCTCAAAGTTTTTTTCATCTGTTTTAAATTACCACCAGGCAGATCCAACCTTCCGGTACATCCACACATCAATGTATCGCCAGTAAATAACCTTGTTTCATTAACCAATATGGATTGACTACCTTCGGTGTGGCCTGGAGTATGAAGAAATCTCAAGAGTGTAAAGTTACCCAATGAAAGTATGAAATTATGTGGGGTTGGAATTATTCTTGACGCATTAGAGTTGGATAATGCAGAGGAATTAAGAGTGGAATTTATTATGAAAGATATGATATTTGTATTACATAAATGAGACTGACGATTTTTAAATGGCAAATTTGAAAGAGGGATTGAAGTGAATAGGTCCGATAATTCGGGATTTGTTTTAAGTACATGAGGAATGTCTAATGGATGTATGTAAGCTTTTAATTTTGGAAAACGCTTTAATAAGTCGCATAAGCCTGATACTTTTATTGGAAGTTGGTTAAATGGTGAAGGTGGTTTTCCTATTAATAAATAAGAATGTAAATAAATAAATAAGTATTTTTATAGAAATTATTAGCAATATACACAATACCTCCAACATGATCAAAGTGGTGGTGGGTTACAATAGCGCCAACAAGTTTCAAACGTTTATTTTTAATAAATTTTATGATCCCATCAACGTCCCAACACTATGTATAAAAAAAATGGGAAATCTGTTATTATACTATAAAATGGCATAAGTGTGTGAAATGTTAATACTTACAGCGTCAACGACAATACACTCTTTTGTACTATTATCAACAATGACATAAATCAAATTTTTCATTTTTACAGCAAATTCGAATATTTTACTTCGTATTTTGTTTGTTATTGAATTCTTTGCTATGCATATATCTTGACCTGGCACCAATGTATGTATTGTTAAACCTACGTATTTTTATATAGTAGTTTTGTGTTAATAATTTATAAATTTAGTATAACATGAAACATAACAAAAAAGTACCCATTGATTTATTATCTCTTAGAATTAAGCCTTTTTCTATTCGATGTTGGATTTGTGTATTACGTGGATCCTAAATATATATATATATATATATATTCGTATAATATATCATAATAATAATGATTACTACGTAATACTTAAAATTATTATGTTATTATTACGTTATTATTATTATTTATTATGGTGAATCTTACCTTCTGTTGTGCGACGTGATAACAATCTAACGCTTCATCGTATTTCTCTAATTGCACAAGAGCTTCAGCCTTTCGAAAATAGCCCTAAAAAAATAAATTAGCAAATAAATAATCGAGCAAACTCACTGCTAATGATTTGCATGCTATTTTTTTTTTAGATAAAATTAGTATTAATACCTTTGGCCATTCAGGCCTTATTCGAATAACCTGTTCAGCATCTTTTATTGCGTCCTTCCATTTTTTACGTTGAAAAAAACTTGCACTCCTATTAGAAAACACGAGTGCAGCAAAATCGGATGTCTTTTTTGTTTCCGGACTAGATTGTAGTATTGATATGGCTTTGGAATATTCTTCTAATAGGTTAAAAAAGAATTCGATTTTATTACTTATTTTATATATATTTTTACATGTGAATTACTTAACAAGCTTAACAAACCTATAGCAGATTCGTAGTCTTTTTTCGAATAGTAATTATTGGCACGCAAAACCGCCTGAAATGATTTATCGTCTGGCGCATTCGGTCGAAATACCGAGGAAAATTCTGACATTTTTGATTTGGAAACCATGTTTTTTTTTTTTATCTCATAACAATGATAATATGAATATGCAAAAATGATGAATCGTGAAGCTTAATAGAATTATTACAATAAATATTGTTAAAGATAGAATTGGTAATTGTGGTACACGTATT